GCCATGTTGGGGGTACCGCAATGGTTGCGCTGATAGTCTGTTGCACAGGCCGAGATTTCGACCATGACTTCGGCCGTATGCTTGCTCGACTCAATGTCCACGTCGGACATGATGCCCGCCCAGGCGCAGTAGATGAGGTAGAGGAAGCCGGCGCCAAGGAGGGTGTTGACGAGGAATTGTGCGTAGACGGAGAGGACGGTGGGGAGGGCGGGGTGGGCTTCGACCCAGTGGAAGAGGTTTCCTAGGCGCTTGATGAAGGTTTCCTGGACGACTTGGACGACTTTGGGTTGGCTGGAGTGGGGGTTGTTGAGGCCATCGAGGGTGGCGGGGTTGGCGGTGTTTGCGGATGGGGTTTCGGTGTCTGAATCATCGGAGGGTTGGAGGGCGTAGCGTTTTTTGCTGCGCGATCGATCCGAGCGTTCAGAGCGTCGCTTCACGATGCGCCCTTCTTTTTCCTTGCGCGATGAGGCTGGGCGGCGCAGTTCCCGGTCCCGGTCCTTGTCCCTCTCGCGGTCCCTCTCGCCATCTCTCCGCTCCCTCTCTCTATCCCGTTCACTCTTGCTCGGACTGGGACTGGCGCCAAAGAAGCCCTTGAAGGCCATCCAACTATCGCGTCGCGGGGGCTTCTTGTGGCTCGTCTCGCCCAGTCGGCCCATCCTGCCAGCCAATTGTGTGTCCGGTGTGGCTGGCTCGCTGTCTACCTGGGGCGTGTTGGGAGTCTCGCCGCCGGAGCTGAAGTCGTAGTTTGTGGCCGGGGTGCGGGGCTCCCAAGTTTGGGACTGGATGTGGGCAGGCAGCGAACTGGCGGGAGTGCTGGGGAGCTGCTTGTTGGCGGAGAAGTAGCCGGAGCGATTGGGGGTGGCGAAGCTGCCGTTGTAGCCGTTGTAGCCGTTGTAGCCGTTGGAGGCCGTGGATTTGGAGGGCGAGTCGAGGACTGAGTGGGGGCCTGTAGGTCGCGGGTGGTGGTTGATGTTAGTTGGTCGTCTTGGGGCCGCCATTGTGGGAGGAGAAAGAGAAGAGAGGGGGAGGGAGAGGGATTGTTGTGTCATGGGTAGGAGGGCATCAACGTACGCTTCACACCCGACTGCGACTGCGACGGTTGACTGGCAGTCAAGAAGGGCGATTGAGAGTCTACGGGTCCCGTCTGATTTGTCCACTCAAAGTCCATGGGCGTCGTCGACGGACGATGAGCCCGCGACATGTTGAGTGTGTGTGAGCGTGAGTGTGAGTGTGAGTGCGAGAGAGAGAGAGTGTGTGTGTTGTGTGTCGATGGAGAGGGTTGTTGTTCTTTGGTGGTTGTCCGTATTGTTTCTTGTTGTTGTTTCTTGTTGATTATCTTCTGGTTGTGGTTGCAAGGCTGGCCGACTGGCTGACTGCTTGGCTGCACTGGGTTCGTTGGTTGTTGACGCCAAAACACAGCCCGTTGCGGACTTCCGGGCCTAAGCCAAATCAATCCATCCATCAATCAATCCATCCATCAATCCATCAATCAATCAATCCATCAATCAATCCATCCATCAATCAATCCATCCATCAATCCATCAATCAATCCATCAATCAATCCATCCATCAATCAACAACGATGACAACAACACACTACTTTCACCACAACCACCAATCCACCAATCCACCAATGCCATCGACTTGCCAATTCAATCTTTGCCGTCATGCATCTTGTTGTCACGCGACCGAAATGATCAGTCATCAAAACGGACATGCTCGTTCATCTCTACTCTACTGTGACCGCGTACTACTCCCACCCGTCTCACTCTCTTGGAAACACTGCCATTCACGTCCACAAAAAAGACAGCCTGCCTCTCGGTGGTGGAGAGTCAAGAAACCCTTTTGCAGAATGATAGGCTACCTCTCTCCCGTCTACTCCAACCCCCTCGTCTCAGCCAACAAACACAAATCATCGTGCCGCCCTCTCCCCTCGACATCACACATGCCAAAACAGCGACTCCGCCTCCTAACCCCATGGCTGACCTTCTAAGCCGGCGTCAACCCAACCTTGACCCCATTCTTCGAGCACAACGTCAGCGTCAACCCCTCAATCCATGGTTCAGCATCCCGGCTCTCCATGGCCTTGAACTCCTGCAACATGCGCACCGTCACATAACTCGCCTCGGTAAGCGCATACTGCTGTCCTAGGCAGATTCTCGGTCCGCCGTTGAAGGGCAGATATTCCCAGCTCGGGCGCAGTGTGGCCCACCGCTCGGGGTCGTACTTGTCCGCGTCGGGCCCATACAGGTCTTTGCGCCGGTGCATCGTGTAAACGGAGTAGCCCATGATGGTGCCCTTGGGGACGAAGAGGGGTGCTTGGCCGTCTGGGCCGCCGCCGCGCGGGAGGACTGTGTCGCAGGCTGCGAGCCGGGAGTTGTTGGGCACGACGGGATGGGTGCGTAGGGCTGGTGCTGGGTTAGCCTTTGAATGGCCCTGCACTCCCCTTTCCCCCAACCCATGGCCCATCCAGGCTGACAGGACAGGCACTTACACTCGTTCAAACACCATTTGAGATACTTGAGGCCCCTCAACTGCTCATACGACGGCCGCTCTCCTCCCAAACTCTCCACCTCCTCCCTCAGCTTCGCCCATATCTCCGGTCGCCGAGCAAGCTCGAAGAACATGTTGCTCAGCAAACTGGCCGTCGTGTCGCGTCCCGCCAGCAGGATATTAATCAGTTCCTCACGTATCCTCTTCTTGTCCGTCGTCTGTTTCGCCACCTCCTGGATAAAGTAGTACTTCTCGTCCTTGGCCTCCCCACCCGCCTTCTTCTCCCCATCCAACTCTTTCCTGAACCGCAGCGCGTCCTCGACAAACTTGTCAATGTACTCGTGGCAGATTTTGATCGCCCGTTCACCCTCCTCATTACTCCGGAAGCGATCCAACGGCCCCAGTCGCATCCGCTTCGTAATGTCAAACTGTGCAAAGTTGAACGCCTTGCTGAAGATGACATCCTCATTGTGGGCGTCATCGTTTCCAGCCATGCGCAGTGTGTTGGTCGAATGGTTGAACAAGAACTCGGTCGCCGAGTCAATCGTGAGCATGAAGAATAGGTCCTGCAAGTCCACCGTCGTGCCGTCACGCGGGATATGCTTCATCATGAGTTTGAAATGGCGCTCAAACGCGTCGAGGTCCGCCACCTGATCTCTTGCAAAATTCGGCCGCAGCAGTTGCCGACTATTCGCCCACCGTTCTCCCTGTGCATTGAAGATGCCATGACCCAGCAGCGGTCCCAACCCGGCCTGACGGTGCTCAAAGCTGTAATCCTTGAACCGCAGACTCAGCATCGTCTTGATATTCTCGGGCTCACACGTTGCAATCAGAGGCGTGTTGATGATGCGATTGTGGAACGTGTTTCCATATTTTTCGAACCGTCTTTTGTTTTCTTGCAAGGTTATGTGGTGCTTACTGTTGTAAGCCATGACTCTCATGGCGTCGAGGCCGAGGATGGGGTCTTTGTGGAAGACGGATGTGCATGGCTGGCAGTTGTGTTCCTTCTTGAAGCGCTGTCGTGCTCGATAGAGGGTGATGCGGGTGTAGATGAGATAGGAGAGAGCAGCGCCTGTTAGGATGACAAGGAGTGGGGACAGCGCCATGGTAGGATGGTAGGGTGGTAGCTTGTAGGAGGAGGAGGAGTCGCCGTTGCCCCAACCCTAGGACCATGCGTGGTGGCAGGACGGGCAGGAGCAGTAGTTCTAACACCAGGAGTGATAGGAGTGGCCCTTGTAGTGGTCGGAGTAGGAGTAGTAGGAGTAGCTAT